GCCCGGGGCCTTCCGCACACCCTCAACGCTGCCCTTAAGTGATTAGTTCAGAAGGGTGTGCAGACTGACAGACAGCAGCTCTTTTAGCCTTCAGGTGAGTGACAAGCCGTTCTGTCCCAGATCTGCACGCTCTCCCGTTCACAGGGCTTGACACGGAGCTGTGGAACTGTGCCTTAGCTGTTGCTGGAGCTATGCATTTCTGGGAATGTGTTCCTTCCCTTTGTGTCATACCCAGGACACAGCTTTGTCAAATTACTCTTCTGATCTATCCCAGTGGCTTGCTATTTTATTTTAATTAAATTTATTATTTTTTCTTAAGGACTATAAGTTGCTTGACAGGAACTGCATTTGTGATTCAGATGGGAACTGGCTTTCTCAGCTCAGTTATTTTACCCCATCCTTAAAAAAAATTGAGATATAATTGACATATAACATTGTGTAAGTTTAATGTGTTGATTTGATGCATTTATATATTGCGATATGATGACCGCCATAGAATTAGCTGCCACCTCCATCACATAACATAATTATCATTTTGTCTTACACCATCTTAAACCAATGAAGAACTTGTTTTCAGATAGGAATTCATAGGAGTGTTAAAGGTGGCTATGGCATAAGCACAAGTCATGAAGTGTTGACAGGTACGTGGGGTAACTGATTTCGGTCAGTTTTAAAGGTCAACACATCTTCCTTCCTGCTTCCGGCCCCTGGGTTGAAGCGTCTGTAAACTAATGGGCAATTTTTGTTTTACCAGGTTTCCTTAATCCCCAGGCCAGATGTGTTAAATCTCCCCCAGGTGTCTCTTAAGGAAGTGACAGCAGGTTTTAATCTTCCTGTACACACTGCAGCAGCTGTGCAAACATTTCATTAACAAAAGAAAAGTGGGAAGCATTAAACCTGTGGGTAACTTGTGCCTAGCATTTGACATCAGTAGACTTTAAGATGCCCCAAGTAAGGATAAATCTGTGCGCCTTAAATTCTACTTTATTTCAACAAGCTTGAGTAGTCATAACAAAGAAATTAAACCCCATTTAAGGAATTAAAAAATGTAAGAAGAAACTCTGAATTAGCATTCAGCAGCACAGTTCTCTAAAAGCATATGTGGCAGAAATAATAAAACAAAGCAACTTCCAGACAAAAATTCACATTCTGAATGGGAAAGCTATAAAATGTGAGTCAGGCAAGTCTTTTAAATGAAAAACTGTTTAATATAATATTTACATGCTGTCCTTCATACGTTTTTGGAATTATGTCAACATTTGTTCTCAAGATACAAAATTGTACAAAGATAGCTGGAAAGTCAACACTGGGACTTTGATTTGTCCTGGTTTTATTACCATTAAAGTGATTTATTATGTTTAATTCACTGTTCTCTTCCCTGAGAATTTTTAATATATTCCTGATGTTTTATTAGTTGGAGAATTTTTTTTTATATCAAAGAAACTGCCTATGGATTCTGTACTTACTGGTATAAAAAGTAAGGATAAATCTCTACTGCCTTCCTAGCTCATTTTTATTTGAACATAACTCATACTATGTACAAACAGAAATATTTATCACCTACTTTCTATCTTAAAGGGTTCAGGCTACCATACTTTTAGGTGTACGCCCCTTCCTCCATGTAGTCCCTCCTAATCCAATAGTAGAAAACGATTTCCCGCAATCTTCCCGTAGGGCTTTTTTATACTTCTCTCATAGTATTCATCATATAGTTCACTGCATTATAGTTCTTTGTGTACGTGTTAATCTTCCTACTCCATAGTGAGCTCCTTGAGGTCATGTACTAGGGCTAATCCAAAGTTGTTTTTACCCACAACCAACACTTGGCCACAAATGTCTGCTGAATGAAGCCCTTGGGTAGAATGCAATGCTTATGGTGGGGATCTTACTTTCCTCCTCTTCAGCTATTTGTTTCAGTGAGCATACACTTTTATGCCCAGTGGTATGCTGGGTCTGGAGAGGGTTACAGGGCTAGGGTGAAAGAAAGGTAAAAGACATTTCAGGGAAGAAATTTGCCAGTCAACAATAAACATTATCTGGAAGTTTAATAAAAATAATCTTGTAGTTATTTTGGGTTAAATGAATTTATATTACATTTAAAATTTCCATCACAAGAGAAGTCCTTGAAATCTAAACAAAAAGGCTCAGTCTTGGCAATTCTTCATTCCTTTTCCTGTAGGTGATATTGGTTTTTATTTAGAGGTGGTTGACTAGGCCTGTGTCTGGGGAACCTGTCACCAGGGAAACTGTGTAGTTCTAATGCTTACAAAGTCTTTCAAACCTTCATCTTTAGGAATGACCTGGGGTGCTTGCAAATGCCAGGGACCTAGGACCAGAGACTTTGTTTCTCGATGTCTGGCATGGGGCCCAGGAAAGGGCCTTTTAACAACTCCCTTCCCTGTCCCCCTCAATACGCACACACTCAACACCAGCAATGCAAGTGGCTCTGATGCGAGTGATACAAAGACTACACAGAGACACCTTGTCTTAGGCCTTCCTAGCCTACTGCCCACTTACTAGTTCATTTTCAAAGTCCATATAAGTACTGAGTACTAATACAAGTACTGACTACGAATATACTGAGTACTGAGCACTAATATAAAACACGAATTAGTACTAACTAGTCCTAATATAAAGTGCTATTAGTACTAAAGTACTGTTAGTATTGAGTACCAATATAAGTCAGTATTAGTGCTGAGGACTAACTGCCGGTTCTTGGGGAGAGAAAATGTCAGAGAAAGTGACATTTGAGCTAGGCCCTGAAGAGTGAGAACAGAAATTCAGAAAGACTTTCCAAACAGAAGGAACAGAGAGCAAAAAGTTTTGGGGATCAAAAGGAGTACTAGAGAATGGACTTGAGTATATGGGGAGGGGGAAGGGTAAGCTGTGACAAAGCGAGAGAGTGGCGTGGACATATATACACTACCAAACGTAAAATAGATAGCTAGTGGGAAGCAGCTGCATAGCACAGGGAGATCAGCTCTGGGCTTTGTGACCACCCAGAGGGGTGGGATAGGGAGGGTGGGAGGGAGGTAGATGCAAGAGGGAAGAGATATGGGGATATATGTATATGAATAGCTGATTCACTTTGTTATAAAGCAGAAACTAACACACCATTGTAAAGCAATTATACTCCAATCAAGATGTAAAAAAAACCAAAAAAAGGAGCACGTGTAGCCAGGGAATAGCAAGCAGGCTGGTGTGGTCCAAGTCAAGGTCAGAGGGAGAGTAGTAAGAGTTCCAGCTCAACTAGTTGCTAGCTGAATGACCTTGGAAAGATACATAACCTCTCTGAACCTCAATTTCCTCACCTGGAAGATGATGATAATAACACCTAACAAGCTGTAAGAATTAAAGAAGATATATGTGAAGAACATCGCATTCTTCTGGCTCAAAGTAGGTCTTTAAGAAATAGTAGTTATTATTAATACTATCCATATGGTTGGAATTTTCCATCAGTAAAATGAATACATGAACATAAGGTTAAAAAAAAGAGAGATAAACTATAAAATTCAAAACACCCTCATCCATTTATTCATGAATTATCAAGGGAATTGAGGCACAACTGAGCTAAGATTTAATCCTCCTATTCATTGAACTGCATCTATGGACAATTTAAAATGTGTCCAACACTGGGCAATTCTCTCAGTTCTCTTTTCCCTTTTCAATGTGTAGACACAGCCAGGTGGCAACTTTGTTCTATTTCATCAAAGAATAAAACATCTTAATCCTGAAATCCGGGCCCAGTCATAACCCATACTCCCCCTGCACAAACAGGATCTGTTTCTCCAATAATGGAAATTCCCCATCGCCTGAGGAATGCAGTCAGAGTTCCTTAGTACAACTGCATACTTTCCAATCTCTGGTTGCTGCCTGCTCTCTCACCACCAGCTTGAAGTAGCATCTGATAATTCAGGAGAATTCATCTTACTAGAACATAGCTATAACTTAAATACATTCTTTCCCACCAAAACATAAAACTGTTAGCAAAAGCAGAAGTCTTGAATATTCAATGTTTATTCTAGCAAATGAGTTCATTTTTTATAAGTACTTTGAACAGTGCCTGGCTCTTGGTAAGTGCTGCCTACATGTTAAATAAAATAGATAAAATATTTTCAACCTTATCAGGAAAGGGAACATGCTAAATGCTCACTCTCTCCTCCCTTTCTTAAGATTGCCCCCGAGTGCAATCTGGTTTTTGTGGGTTTCTTTTCCTCAATTGATCATTCCAAAATAGATCTCTTAGAGAAGACTTTCTCAGCCCAATGGCTGGAACTGTGTGCTGTTGGGTGAATTATTGGAACTGAGAAGGGAAAAAAGAAGAGAACAAACAGATACTAAAGAATAAACATTTGATTGCTAGTTTGTGGACAAGTGCTTGAGAGTCAGAGTTCTAGGATTCTTAGAAATATGTTTTACATGGAGGCTGCATAATGCAAATCTTAATATATTATCTTCCTTACCTGTTATCACAGTCTGTGAAGAGGTATAATTATACTCTTGTTCTAGACAGTACTCTTCATCCCTGCTTTGATTATTGCAAAGTATCTCAGATGCATATTTGAGCATCACAACAGCACCCATTACATAAGTAAAAGCCCAGCACGTTGGCAGTTTACACATCTTCTTCATTGAAGCAGGAAGAGGGTGTTAAACTTTATTCATATAAGTCTGTAGTTTCAGTAAATTCAAGAGCCCCTTTGGGGCTGTCCTAATTCCCCTGTACAAGATGCATGGGGCTTTTCCATTGGAAGGTTATTTTCCTCTGTTCTTCAGAAACTTCTCCAAGAAATTTCTACTCCACTTTTTTGTGACCATAAATTTGCGTTTTCACTTGTGCCTGTGAGTGTTGTGGCCTCTCCCGTTGCGGAGCACAGGCTCCGGACGCGCAGGCTCAGTGGCCATGGCTCACGGGCCCAGCCGCTCCGCGGCATGTGGGATCTTCCCGGACCGGGGCACGAACCTGTGTCCCCTGCATCGGCAGGCGGACTCTCAACAACTGCCTCACCAGGGAAGACCCCTGGTGAGTGTTTTAATTTATGCTTTCAATAGGTTATAAATAGCCACCTGTCCTGAGCACTTATCTCATCACTAAGGCTTGTTGAGTAGACAGAACTCAGCACCCATGAAACCCCTGATCCCTGAACTTGACACACTCATGGCCTAGTGAGAGAGACAAGACACTGAAGAGTAACTAGACACTCATTTCAAATGCAGTACAGGCACACCTCGGAGCTATTGGGGTTTGGTTCCAGACCACCACAATAAAGCAAATGTTGCAATAAAGTGAGTCACGTGAATGTTTTGGATTTCTGGTACCTATAAAAATTATATTTATACTATACTGTAGTCTATTAAGTGTGCAGTCGCATTATGTCTAAAAAAACAATGTACATACCTTAATTTAAAAATACTTTATTGCTAAAAAGTGCGAACCATCGTCTGAGCCTTCAGCAAATCATGATCTTTTTGCTGATGAAGGGTTTTGCCTCGATGTTGATGGCTCTTGACTGATCAGGGTGGTGGTTGCTAAAGGTTGGGGTGGAAGCAGCACTTTCTTAAAATTAGACAACAATGAAATTTGCCACATTGATTGACTCTTCCTTTCACAAATGATTTCTCTGTAGCATGCAAAGCTGTTTGATAGCATTTTACCCACAGTAGAACTTCTTTTAAATTTGGAGTCGATCCTATCAAACCCTGCTGCTGCTTTATCAACTAAGTTGATGTCATATTCTAAATCCTTTGTTGCCATTTCAGCAGTCTTCTCAGCATCTTCACCAGGAGTAGATTCCATCTCAAGAAACCGCTTTCTTTTCTCATCCATAAGAAGCAACTCCTCATCCCTTAAAGTTTTATCATGAGATTGCAGCAATTCTGATTACATCTTCAGGCTCCACTTCTGATTCTAGTTCTCTTGCTGTTTCTATCACATCTGCAGTTACTTCCTCCACTGAAGTCTTGAACCCCTCAAAGTCATCCATGAGGGTTGGAATAAACTTCTTCCAAGCTCCTGTGATTGTTGATATTTTGACCTCTTCCCATGAATCACAGATGTTCTTAATGGCATCAAGAATGGTGAATCCTTTCCAGAAGGTTTTCAATTTATAGTTAACCCTTGAACAACACAGGGGTTAGGGGCGCCAACCCTCTGTGCAGTCAAAAATCCACATATAATTTATAGTCTGTCTTCCCCTTATATGCGGTTCCTCTGTATTCACAGTTCCATATTGGTGGGTTCAACCAACCACAGATTGTGCATGTAGTACTGCAGTATTTACTATTGAAAAAAAAAGATCTGTGTGTAAGTGGCCCAGCACAGTTCAAACCTGTGTTGCTCAAGGGTCAACTGTACTTTGCCCAGATCTATCAGAGGAATCACTATTTATGGCAGCTATAGCCTTATGAAATGTATTCCTTAAATAATAAGACTTGAAATTTGAGATGACTTGACTTCTTGATCCATGGGCTGCAAAATGGATATTGTGTTAGCAGGCAGGAAAACAACATGAATCTCCTTGTACATCTCCATCAGATCTCTTGGGTGACCAAGTGCATTGTCAATGAGCAGTAATACTTTGAATGGAATCTTTGTTTCTGAGCAGAAGATCTCAACAGTGGGGCTTAGAATTTTCAGTAAGCCATATTGTAAACAGATGTGTTGTCATCCAGGCTTTGTTGTTCCATTTATAGAGCACAAGAAGGGTAGGTTTAGCATAATTCTTAAGGGCCCTAGGATTTTCAGAATGGTAAGTGAGCCCTGGCTTCAACTGAAAGTCACCAGCTACATTAGCCTTGAACAAGAGAGTCAGCCACTCCTTTGAAGCTTTAAAATCAGGTATTGACTTCTCCTCTCTAGCTATGAAAGAGGCCTCTTCTTCCAATAGAAGGTTGTTTCAACTCCATTGAAAATCTGTTGTGTAGTATAGCTGCCTTCATGAATGATCTTAGCTAGATCTTCTGGATAACTTGCTGCAGCTTCTATATCAGCACTTGCTGCTTCACCTTGCACTTTTATGTTATGGGGATGGATTCTTTATACCTCATGAACCAACCTCCGTCAGCTTCAAACTTTTCTTCTGCAGCTTCCTCACCTGTCTCAGTCTTCATAGAATTGAAGAGAATTAGGGCCTTGCTCTAGATTAGGCTTTGGCCTAAGGGAATGTTGTGGCTGGTTTGATCTTCTCTCCAGACCCCTAAAATTTTCTCCACATCAGCAATAAGGCTGTTTTGCTTTCTGATCGCTCATATATTCACTGGAATAGCACTTTTAATTTCCTCCAAGAAGTTTTCTTCTGTATTCACAACTTGGCTGTTTGGTGCAAGAGACCTAGCTTTCAGCCTCTCTCAGCTTTCGACATGCCTTCCTCACTAAGCTTAATTATTTCTAGCTTTTGATGTAATGTGAGAGACGTGCAACTCTTCCTTTTACCTGACCACTTAGATGACATTGTAGCGTTATTAATTGACCTGATTTCAATATAGTTGTGTCTCAGGGAATAGGGAGGCCTGTGGAGAGGGAGAGAGATGGGGGAACAGCCGGTTGGGGGAGCAGTCAGAACACACATAATATTTATTGATTAACCTCATGGTCATATATGGGAACAGTTCATGGCCCCCAAACAATGACAGTAGTAACATCAGAGATCACTGATCACAGATCACCATAACACATATAATAATAAAGAAAAAGTTTGAAATACTGTGAGAATTACCAAAGTGTGACACAGAGACATGAAGTGAGCAAATGCTGTTGGAAAGATGGTGCTGATAGACTTGCTCAACACAGGTTTGCCACAAACCTTCAATTTGTAAAAAAAACACAGTGTCTGAGAAGTGCAGTAAAGTGAAGTACAATAAAACTAGGTGTGCCTGTACTCATAAGTGCTCATTTTGTGCCAGGTACTGTACTTAATACTTTTCATGCAGTAATCCCCACAATAACCCTGTGAGGTTGAGATCAATATTATCCTCATTTTATAGGTGACAAAAGTGAGAGATGGGAGAGATGGGAGCACATCAGAATACAGGTTAATATTTGGTCCATTGGAGTCACCCTGGTTTTGCCTCAGTGGGGATAAGAAGTAGACATACTCTTGGTATCAAGACAACTCTCTGTGAATGAACCAGATTCAGTCATGGGAATGCTGCTCGGAATTCTTTTTCTTGACTAGATGCGAATAGGCTCTTCTAGGACCTGAGAGTCCCTCCACCCCTCCAGATTCAGAGGGACAATGCCCTCGGGCTGGAAGGCTTGGTTTGCCATCATGGGAAGCTTGGGGAGAGTTATCTTTTCTAATGTCATACTCAAGGTTCTGGATGCTCCATGTTTTTTTCCAACTCACATGGGACAGTGGTTGACTTCCCAGATCTGGAGACAGAGGGCCTGAAGTCACATCCCAGTTCTTCCTTTTTCTTGCTGTATGTCCTTAGCAAAGTGACCTACCTTCTCTGCACCTCAGCTTCTTCACTTGTACAATAGGATTGATAGTGATACCTATCTTATATGTTTGTTGGAGAGTTAGAACAGGCCTAGCTAGGAGGAGGCACTCAATACGTGGTGCCTGTTGTAATACATATCTTACTAAGGGATCGTTCTTAGTTGCCTTGAACTTCTTTCACTCTTCGGCCCCTACTGTTTTGTAGTGATAACTAAGGTCCACGTGTAACCCTAACATTTGTCCTCTCTACAGGCCACTGAAGCAGCCCTGCTTGGTTGATGCAGTTTGGCAACTTCCTTTACATTTTGCCACCTTCATAATTGCTTTGGATTCATTTGGATTTCTGCCATTGAGTAGTCTGTTTGCCTCGAGTGTGCAAGTCAACACTCAGTTGGAAAGAATGCTGAACTCACTTAGAAAGAACACCCACTTAGGGGACTTCCCTGGTGGTCCAGTGGTTAAGACACCACGCTTCCACTGCAGGGGGCATGGGCTTGGTCCCTGGTCTGTTGGGGAACTAAGATCCTGTGTGCCTCACAGCGTGGTCAAAAAACAGAAAACAAAAAAAAAAAAACAAAGGCACCCATTTGAATTCTATACATCAGTATTGTTCCATAATTGAGAATCATTGAAGAATCTTCCATAGAAGGTGCTGCAGACTGTGGGAGGAAAAAGTGTCCATTAATGAGTCACAAGGATCATGCAAAGATTCTGTTTATTCAACAAGCATTTTGGGGAACGTACTATGCACCAGACTCTCTAATTGACACTGGGGATAAAATAATGAAAAAAATGTTTTTGCCATTTAGAAGCTTGTAGTCTAGTGGGAAAAGCAGATGATTAGGACAGAACGTGGCAAGTCCTATGGTGAAAATAAGTAAAAGTACCGTGGGGAGGACCTAGCTCAGCCTTCTGTTAGAAGCTGTTCAGCTTAGAGAATGAGAAAAGCCCTTGCATAGCACAGATCCAGCCCACCTCCCCTCACATGTAATGTTGTAGCAGCCTCCCAACTATTCTTCATGGCTCCTCCGACTCCAATCCATTTTTGGCAGAACTGCAGGTGAATTTGTTGAAAAGATATTGGCAAAGAAAAGAAATGGATAAAAGTCAAACCAGACAAAGCAGCATATGTGTCAAAATTGTATCATCTCCTGTGACTGTACAACTGTACACACACACACACACACACACACACACACACACACACACACGAATTAAGTTTTGTATACCTTGAGGCAGTTTTGAAATGTGTTTATGTGCTTTTATGCATTTCTGGCCATTTATCTTTCTTAGAAAATATTTTTGAAAATTTCTATAAATGCTGGGAAAGTTTTTCAGTTGTTAAGCGAGTTTCTTTGTTAATAACTTTCATTCATTTTTTTGAATTAAAAAAGTTCAATTCAATTTTGAAATTATATTAACTCTGCATGTTTTTCAATATTGCTTGAATTTAAAAAATTTTGCCTCTGGCTCTAAATGAATTGTCAGGAAGTAAAGTGCTCAAAAGCAATATTACCAGCCACTAGCTCACTTATTAATGACTTTCGTTCATCTCAAGGTGACTCTAGAACATGTTAGATATTCACAAAATATTTTTTTCCATTGTCTAGATAATTTTTCTTTTCAACTTTAAATTCATTTTTTGGTCGGGAGGCTTATTTTTACCTATTTAGTATTTTTAAAGCACTGTACATTGATTTTTATTTTGTATTTCAGCAGGGTTAACAGTCTTCATAGCAAAGAAAAACACAAAGAAATCTTCTAAGAGGAATAAGAGGATGAGTGCTTTGCTTTTTGAATAGTTTTGAAATAGGCATTACATTTTAAAATATTGATTTAGCATTCATATCAAAATGTGAAATGAAGAGATGAGAAATCGGTTCTGTAGCTCACTTCTTATTTGTTAACCTTTCCAATACCAGGAGGCATTTTGTATTTCTCAACGTACTTAATTAGATATTCTACTCCTTTAGATTGACCGATCACAGTGAATAAAGATAATGTAGACAAGACCTGCTAAATACTGACCCCACTACTACCTGGAAATGTTCATTTTTCTGTCAATTCACTGTGTCAGCTTATCTGCCAATTCAACCGTTTTCAAACAAAATCTTCAATTTCCTTTCTACCGTCCCCAGAGTTTACCACTTAAAACCTGCCTGTCGCCAAGGCTATTTTTTGCTTCAAAAACATCCTCTACCTCATTAGCAGGATAAATTGCACATTTCTTAGCTTAGCATTCAGCATTGAGAGCATAAGAGATACTCAATTACTTTTGTTGGTCATAAGAATAACAACACTTTGTAGTGTGCTTCATATGTGCTACACATTATACTGAGTGTTTTCATGGATTATGTCATACAGTTCCACAAAATGACTTTATGTGTCAGGTGCTAATGTTATCTTCCTTTTCCAGATAAGAAAATGGGAACTCAGAGAGGTTAATAGCCACCCCAAGGATACACTGAATTTGAACTCACCTCTGTTCGACTCTCATTTTCTTTACACTGCTTTCTATTATATATCATTAGTCATATTTCTACAGCTCTAAAGCCTAGCTCTGCAAGTTAATTTTAACTTTTTAAACTTTTTATCATGCTAAAAATACATAAAATATACCCTTTATCCATTTCTAAGTGTACAATTCAGTGTCATTAAGTAATTTACAATGTTGTGCAACTGTCACTATCATCTATCACTAAAATTTTTTGTTATCCCCAAAAGAAATGTTTTACCTATCGAACAATAACCCCCATCCTCCCTTACCCACAATCCCTGGTAACCTCTATTCTACTTTCTCTCTCTGTAAATTTGCCTATTCTAGGTACCTCATATTAGTGGAATCATATTTGTCCTTGTATATCTGACTTCTTTCACTTAGTATAATGTTTCCAAGGTTCATCCATGTTGTAGCGTGTACCAAAATTTCCTTCCCTTTAAGGCTGAATAATATTCTGTTATGTGTATATACCACATTTCACTTATTCATTCATCTATTGATGGGCATTTGGGTTGTTTCTACCTTTTGGCTATTATGAACATTGAGGTACAAATATCTGTTATACAGTAATTCCATTTTTAATTTTTTGAGGAACCACCATACTGTTTTCTTTTCTTTCTTTTTTTCTATTGAAGTATAAATGACTTACAATATTATATTAGTTTCAGGTGTACCTCATAGTGATTCAATATTTTTATACATTATGAAATGATCACCATGATAAGTCAGGTTACCATCTGTCACCATATAATGTTATTACAATATTTTTGGCATATTCCCTACACTGTACAATACATCCCTGTGACTTATTTTATAGCTGGAAGTTTGTACCTCTTAATCCCCTTCACCTATCCCTCCACCCCCTCCCCTCTGGCAGCCATCAGTTTGTTCTTTGTATCTATGAGTCTGTTTCTGTTTTGTTGTTTGTTCATTTGTTTTGTTTTTGAGATTTTACATGTAAATGAAATTGTATGGTATTTGTCTTTCTCTGTCTGATTTATTTCACTTGGCGTAATATCCTCTAGGTCCATCCATGTTGTCACAAATGGCAAGATTTCATTCTTTTTATGGCTGAGTAATATTCCATTGCATATATATATACCACATCTTCTTTATCCATTTATCTATCAATGGACACTTAGGTTGCTTCCATATCTTGGCTATTGTAAATAATGCTGCAATGAACATTGGGGTACAAATATCTTTTTGAATTCGTCTTTTCATTTTCTTCAGATAAATACCCAGGAGTGGAATTGCTAGATCGTATGGTGGTTCTATTTTTAAGTTTTCAAGAAACTGCCATACAGTTTTCCATAGTGGCTACACCAATTTCCATTCCCACCAACAGTGCACGAGGGTTCTCTTTTCTCCACATCCTTGTCAACACTTTTTATTTCTTGTCTTTTTGATAACAGACATTCTGACAGGTGTGAGGTGGTATCTCACTGTGGTTTTGATTTGCATTTCCCTGATGAGCGAGGTTGAGCATCATTTCATGTGCCTGTTCCACTGTACTCTTTTCTACTGCAGCCGCACCATTTTACCTTCCCACCAGCAAAGCACAAGTGTTCCAATATCTCTGCATCCTCTCCAACATTTGTCAGTTTTTTATAATAACCATCCTAATGGGTGTGAAGTGGCATTTCATGTTGGTTCTGATTTGTATTTCCGTAATTACTAGTGGTACTGAGCCTCTTTTCATGTGCTTATTGGCCATTTGTATTTCTTCTTTGGAGAAATGTGTCTTCATGTCCTTTGCCCATTTTTAAAAGTGGTTTGTATGTTTTTTTGTTGTTGGGTTTTTAATTTTTTAATAAAAATGTTCAAGGAGCCTGAACTACATATAGGGTACTGTGAGAGATAAAAAGAAAGACAGTTTTGACCCTTCAGGTGTAGTAGCAGTAAGGCAACTAAGACAAAT